GTAATAATCTTCGCATGTAATTTTGTTCGTATAAACCTGTTATCATGTTCGCATAGACTTGTTCCAATATTATAAACACTTAGAATGTGAACTCATGTATAGTAAAGCGAACAAAAATTGTAAAAGCAAAATATATTTCAATAATATGAAGAGTACAACAGGCAAGACGGTACAACTGTTAGCCCTGATCTGACTCCTGGAGGACCGACCTCATCATCCTAAGGCTGGTTGGCTAGGGGCTTCTCCGGGGCGTGTCCCAAATCCTCTCTCTGATCGGATCTTCGGGCGGCCACCGCTTCATCATCCTGCCGTGCCATGGACATGAGAGTTTTTCGTCAGTCCTCCAGGAGGTCGGACATATCAATAAGCGGATTCTTCGACCGCAAGGCATAGATGGACTCGATCGCCCATTCGGCAGCCTTCTCCTTGACCTCCGCTGCCTGATTCTGCATCTCTTCGGTCAGGGAAGCAACTTTTCCCTGACTTACTTGGAGTTCGGCCTCGAGAGCTTGCCTTTGCTTCTTGGAGGCATCCCTCTCTTGTTCTGCTCACAAGGCTCGCAGAGTGGTCGTTTTGAGCTCTTAATCCCTCTCTCTGACCTCTTTGGAGAGTCTGGCTATGGTCCTTTAGAGCTCCTTTACTTCCTCCCCATGCTTCTCGAGCTCAGCTTTTTGGAAGTCCACTATGCGAAGAGCTGCGTTCCTTTTGCTCAGGTACCGGTTCGTTGACTCAGAAGATAGGTCTCTTTATGCTTTAGCGGCTTCCAAACCTCACTTGAGCTGCTCGTTCTCTTCCTTAAGTATGACCTCTCCTTTTGCAGCTCCCAACCGAACCTTTTGCATGGACAGTTGCATGGAAAGTAGGGCCTGCGAACAAGAAAAAATAGCAAGTTAGTTTATCCAAAGGAACTAAGGGAAGTCCTCGCCGATGACAGTTCGTTTACCTTGCTTAGATGTTGGAGCGATGTGGACATTAGGTCTATGTCGCTGGAACCTACGAACTCCTCGAATGCTTCCAAGAGTCCGCACTCCAGCAAAGTGTAGACTATCGGCTGCAGGTGCTCTGGCAGGTTCCCCAGCGAGTCTATCACTGGAGTTTCCTTCCTCGCGCCTTCAGCAGAGGTCGTGTCGCCTGTCGGTTCCTTACCCGACTTTCTCTCGACGTCTGGCTGCGACCTCCTAGGTTGATCTCCCTTGGATTCGGTCTCTGACTTTTCGACCTGAATTTGTTGCCTCTTCTTCTTTGCTCGCTGAGCCGTTGTCTTTAGCCTCGGTGAACAGCTGATGGCTGGGAGGCCCTCGCAGGTCGTATTGGTGCGTCCTCCAGAGGTTGAGGCTGAGAAGTTCCAAAAGGTCACGCCGGAGGGCCCAATGTAGCACCTTCAGCCGAGGGACCGACAGGAGCAGCATCGGTCGCCCCGGCAGTCCTTGCCCACGAAAAATTGGATTGCTTTCGTCGTGGCGGCTTTGACTCGTTCGGAGGCATGGTCGTTGCATGCGAGCATTGTTAGCAAAAATAATTCATTGCACGACCAGAAAAGACCCAGTTAGCGAAACTTACGCAGTAGGGGCTCTGAAGACGCGTTTGCATTGAAGAAACAATATTTTCACAGATTCGCAGTCGTCACGAGCTTCTTCGCGTCGCGACTAGCTTCGGACAAGAAGCTGAAAGCTACAATCTTGCATGGATCAAAGAGCAGCCCTAAGTCGGTCAACTTGTTAACTGCCAGAAAGAAACAGGTCGTTAGGAAAAGAATGCACTTCAAATTTAATGACTTCGCCAAGGGAAAAGAACCTACTCGGGTCCTGAAAGCAACAATGGCCGTCATAACGAAAGAAGAAAAACTTCATTTCGTAGGCCCCCGCGTTGCTAGGGTAGTTGTTTATTCCTTGTCCTTGCTCTTTTTCAAGTAATGCGAGCAGCCGAGCTCCACCGTGGTTAGCTCGCCCAGCCCGTTCTCACGACACGTGATGTACATGGCAATAGCAATCACATACGTGTTCGGCGTGAGTTGCATTGGCGTGATCCCAAAGTGATCCAAGAACGACCTAACAAAAAGGTGGAAAGGAATCAACCCCCCACCGTTGAAGATCTCCTCGGAGATCGCGGCCATCCCACTTGATAGGTATCGTGATGAGCGGGTCCTATCGTGGAAAACCTCTACGTTGACACCATACTATTTTATCACCCTCTCGAGCTCTTCCCCAGTAAGTATCGAGTACACCTCAGGAGTGACGTCCAAAACACCCTACGAGGATGAATCAGTTCCTTCCCCGGATCTGGTCGTTGAGGGGTTCATTCTACTAGTCTGCAAAAGTGACAAGCAAGAGGGTCATTTAGCCATTGTACGATATTTCGTATGATGACGTGGAAGGAAACAAACTCCCTAAAACTCAGAGAAAACCCTAACAGAATGATTCGAGCTGCCATTCATGGCTTGAACCCAACATGAGCGTCTTGTCTCCGATCAGCTACCGAAAGACTAACGCCATTTACCAACCACAGGGAATAAGAAAATAAAAGCAGAGAACGATTCTTACCTCTCAGAATACGACAATGGCTCCTTCTACTTAAAATATCAAAAACACGCTAATTTGGAAGGCAAAGATTCCAAGCTTGCGAAAGTCTCTTGCTCTCTCTGGAAAAGACGCAGTGTGGTGACATTGCCTGAGATGGATCTGAGTTTTTATAGCAAAGGAAACGATGCTCGGTTTTCTCGAAATCAAAACTACGATTGGGCAAAAAATATCTCACCATTGATCACGACCACGTGTCGTAGATCAGTGAGGAAGAGTGACCGTCACGATTAAAGAAAACCAAACCTTCATCCTTTTCCATTGAAAAACTCAAGCGACGGCACTCTCTCTCCCTCAGCATTAATTACGCCCCAATATGCATTTAATGCTCTGATAAGGGGTGTCATTTCAACATGTCATTCATTTAATGTTCTGAGAAAGGGTATCGTGTCAAGCATACCACACATTTAATGCGCCTGGTTGGCATTATCACGCGCAGGACATATCTGTTAGAGCAGAGGCTGCTTCATTAAATGCATCGATATCGAAAGTACAACAGGTAATGCTTGACAAGGTCAGGTCGCTCATCCTTAACAAGCAATGACCATGTGAGGTCGTGTTCGCAAAAAGCGCTACCTCGACCTCTTTTCAAACAGGTCGGAATCACCAGAATTTCCCGAAAGCATCTAGTCACAACATGAATTATAGTTTCCAAGGTTCAATCCTCAAACCTTAAAAACTAGGAGACTTCTGTTATGCCTAAAGAATACAGGGCTGACGTAAGGTCCAGTCAGCATGCAAAAGTCAAAGCCTGGGTATACCCGCAACCGAGTCACGTGAGGAAAGGAGTAGCATGCTCCTATCAGCACAGTGGGTGCACGTCAGACCAGCCAGGAGCTGGAAAGCTTCCACATGTCCAAATTCCTGCACCAAATAGAGTAAATCACTCTAGAAGGTGGGCAATGGGACGTAAAGGAAGATTTGTACGGATAATACCACCAACTCACAGATTCAGTAATGATAACCTTAATCCATCCCACTATAAATTGAGTGCTACTCTCTCATTTGGGGGATTCAGTTATTCTACTCTTGATTAGCTACTCTCTCTCTCTCAAAAAGATATAGCATTCACTCTCTTGTATTATCATTTGTAAGTCAGTCCGTTGACGCGACCTGACCTCTATCATTAATACAAACATCAGTGGACGTAGGACTTGCTTAGCATCTGAACCACTTTAAAAGTTGTTCCCATTGTGTTTACTCTCATCTCATTTTCTTACATTTACGTGTGTCTTCTAAGCCAGCTCAGCATTTCACACGTGCGTTTCGTTGGTGTCAAAATCCCACATCAACAGTAATGAATAAGTTGGCTTCTTTTCTTCTTTCTGAAAGTAACTGAAAACGCATAAGAAATGCTCTTGGTATTGACTTTAATTTATGCGGCTCAAAAAGAAAAAGGCGTGTGAGAAAGTTGTTAACTTGCATTAAATCAAATATTTAATCTTTGAGAATTCCTCATTCGTGATTACAAAATCTAATTTTGATTACGAAATATGATTCTATTGTAGCAAATTGAATTTCGTTGAAACTTGTTACTTATTTTAAATGGTTCTTTTTTGCCCATGCAAAATTGTATTCAACCAAAAAAGGGCTAATTACCAATATAGAAATATGTCTAAACCTGAGAAAATATTAAAAATTAGAATATGCATTGATATCATGTTAAAAATGGGAGGAGTAAAAAATTAATATAAAGAACAGCAACATATGCAAATATTATCAACCACACAGAAATATAATATTTTACGTGGTTCGGCATAATAATTTGCCTACTTCCATAGATGAGATAGTTGTACTATAATCTTAAGAACACATGGTAGAGCATACAACATATATCACTAACCCTTCTACTTAGGCGGACATCATGTTCCTATAGTATTTAATTAATACCCCTTCTCACATCTTGTGTTTCTTACATTCTCCCTTCTTTAGTGACTTCTCTCATAACCTTGAATTGATTCTAACCCCGCTATTTATAGGTAGAATAGGAAATTCTTTTTCTATTAGGATTCATGTTTCAAATCCTAATAAGACTCCACCAATTTAATTTATTCTCTTATTTTAACTCTAAATAAAATCTTAAATCAATTCGTCTTTCCTAATACAACTCAAAGTAAAGGAAAACAAATATTCTCAGTTACAAATTCCTAAAATAGAAATTTGTCTAAAACTTAAATTCTTTTTTCTTCTCGCTTGCCTTTTCTTCATCAATTACCAAAAAGTGTCACTATAATCATAAGAACACAAATGCTAGAGCGTACAACGTCATTAACCCTTCTACTTGGGCGGACATTGATAGAACAGCATGCATGCATGAAGAGTGGTGGAAATGGAGAAGAAAGCATAAAAGGATGGATTCAAAAACCGTTTTTCATACAAAGCATGGAAATGAAATTATTATAGGGTAAAATATCTGATACTGATCAGTAATAGCTTCTCCAAAGTATAGAAGTTTGATAGTGCCAATAAATTTCATTTGATTTCGCTTTTTATTGAAGCCAACCTCTGAAACAGGTGTTGATTTTTGACATAAACAGAAGATACTACACAGCATGAACCCAAAAAGCTAAGTTCAGAACATATTTAGTTTTGGTCTTTCTCCCTTAAAGAGTCATTGGCCTAAACATTAACTGCCGAAAGGCAAGATATTTTTATGGAGTTTTCACTTTTCCCTGTCGGATGGGAGTCTGTTGTGCTTGCATATTAGACATTGTTTAGACCCCAGAGAAACACACATATGATAAGAAATTGACCAAGGGAAAAAACATGTTGTCATATAATTTTCTTTCCTTGAAAAATCTTGATCTGTGGTGATAGGATGTCTATCATGATTTTTCTTTAGGAAGTCTTTATTTGGACCCACTTAATTGTGACACAGGATATAGACCCAAGCAGAAGACCGGGTGCTGGGCCTGATGGTTATGCTGTACTGAAGATGCATCCTTTCTTCAAGGGAGTTGACTGGAAGAATATAAGGGGGCTAATCCCTCCAAAACTTGCTTTAGAACCAATGGTAAACTTCTATTGTGCTTTACGGTGTAGTCTGATTTAAATTGTTATCGAATGGTTACTGGCATCCTTGGTGTTGCCTATTGTTGACAGTTCTGATATCATGTAACCGTGTCTTTTTATCTTTTAGGCTCATTCGGGTGATTGTGATGATGTTAACGATTCTTCATGGAACCCTTCTCACATTGGGGATGGTTCAGCAAAAGCAAATGATGGGAGTGGTGGTGCCTCATCATCATGTGACGTATCTCATATAACTCGGCTTGCTTCAATTGACTCCTTCGACTCAAAATGGTATTTGGAACAATTTTTCTGATGTCCCATTACTATATTTTTAACTATATTTTTTGTTAAAGAGATTAGTAATTCTTTTGTATTCAAAGTCTTTTAGCTTCAAACTGCTGGAGATTATTGTTCTTAAATATTTTTGGTTTCTCTTGTCACCTGGTATGGAACTTGGAAGTTAAAACATAATCAAAGCCAGTGATCGGACTTCGTTGCCATTAACTTTGTTGGATGCTATATCAATTAATGATGCCTTACACTTACCTTCTAGTTAACTTGGCAAATGAATATTCAGATTCCATGGTGTTCTTTTTCTTTGCAAATGAATACATATTGATTTGTCTATTAATCATGATAACAGGCAACAATTTTTGGATCCGGGTGAATCCGTTCTTATGATCTCAATGGTGAAGAAATTACAGAAACTAACAAGTAAGAAGGTTCAGCTTATTCTCACCAACAAGCCAAAATTGATCTATGTGGACCCTTCAAAGCTTGTGGTAAAGGGAAACATAATTTGGTCTGACAATTCGAACGACCTCAATATCCAAGTAACAAGTCCATCACATTTCAAGATTTGCACGGTATTATCCTTATTCCCTCTAAAAATTCTCAGTTTCATACCTTTGAAGTTATCTTCCCTAAATTGTTGATGTAGTCCTTGTGGTGAACCATAGTGATACTCTACGATTGTTGAGGAACTTTCCTTCAACATATGAATTATAAAGTTTGGAATTGCATAATGCCTGATGCTACTTGTAATTACACAAAACTTAAATAGGAGTTAATGAATTTAAGCGATTTCTCTCCGCGACTAGAGTTTCATTTGTTTGGCTTTTTCCCTTTGTTTAATTTCTGATTCATGATTATGTAATGATTCAGCCAAAGAAGGTCATGTCGTTTGAAGACGCAAAACAGAGAGCGTGGCAGTGGAAAAAGGCGATCGAGGGTCTTCAAAACAGGTGAAATCTGTTTGTGATTTTGACTGAAATATACTTTTGTTATCGACGAACATGGGATTCTTAAGCAATCGACTTCCTGAAGAAATATTTATTGGCCGAAGAGATTCACATTGCAGATTCAGCTTTATCAAGGTATGATGCCGCAGCCCCCACTACCATTCCTTCCATGTTGCTTAGAGCTAAGTTTGTGAGCAGGGGTGTTTTGTCCATTTTGAGCAGTAAGTTAACAGAATGTGAAATGTTAGGGTCTGTTGGGGGCTTAAGGGTTCCATTACTTTTGTACCGTATTAAAGTTTACCTGCCATCAATGAAAATTTTCCTTTTGATTAAATCTGCGTAAAGATACTCTCGCCATTTTACTAACTTTATGAAACTGAATTTTACATATAAATGAACTCGAAGTCTAAACAAGATCCGTTGTCACTCAAAGTAGCTTCATTCATCAATCATCATTCTATGTACTTCTGTACCGGAAGCCTCACTTCTCAAAACGTTGAAGATGGAGAGTGAGTTGTCAACTTGATTAAGATTAAAATCAATATATCAATCAACGTGATATATGTAATAGAAAACCTTATGGGGTGTGTTTAGTTGGGGGTAATTCTCCATCAATGAGGTAGTTACTTAAATTATTTTAATTAATCTTATATTATTTAAATTATCACGTTTAGTTTTTAAGTAATATAAGATTCGAGTAATATTAATTATTGGTTGTATAGGTGAAAGTCTGATTATCTCAATTTTCTTAAATATTTTAAGATTATTTGGTAATATTAATTTTGTTATAATTTTACTCTTAATTATTAAAATTTTTGGACAACAATGCTTTTATTTTGAAATTAATTTACATGAACATGTCATTACAATTCTACCCCTAATTAGTTAAGTTTTTGGACAATAATGTTTTTATATTTAAAATAAATTGCAAGCCATCTAAGACTACCATTGGTCGTTGGCCAGCCATTGCAGGCTATCGTTAGCCATTGTCGGCGGTCGTTGAAACGACGCACGATCGATTTGATCTAGTCGATTGTGCATCAATCTTGTTGTTTCTTGTTAGATCAATGGTCGGAAATGGCTAGATCGATGAATCTAGCTGTTAACGACTATTGATTTGGCCATAAACGGTCATATCGGTGCATGACTGGCCAGGTTCGATCGATTGTGCGCCACTACGGTGATTGTTGACGCGCGGTTGGCGGTGGTGGTGGCGGTTGGCAGTGGCTTGGGGTGGGTGGGGGTGATTTTTTTAGAAATTAAACTTTTATATGTTTGGGGTGTTTTAGCAAAATCTCAAATATAAATGGTTAAAAGAAATTATTTAAAAAATAATATTATATTAATATTTAAAAAATGGTTTAGTAATCTATATAATATATTTATCAATTTATTCCTCTCAACTAAACATATTAATATAACATACCCATCAATTTATTTCAACCTAACCAAACACATTTTCCTAAAATTTTTCTAATAATTTTTAAAGTTATTTATCTTTTCATAAATAAAACATTTTCAGTAATACAACATTTTTAAAACTAAACGTAAAGGTTTTTGAATTTATCCTCTTGGGAGTTTCATGGTCGCGGTAATGAGGGTAAACCACCGTAGCAGTTTTGAGGGTAAACTTCCATAGCGGCGTCGAGGGGTTTTTAGTAATGGTTTTTAAAACACTTAACTTGTGCTTAGGAGTTTATTTTCCAGCGGTTTTGACAGTTTTTTAAAATGATAAATTTAGATATATACTCATAAAAATACCCAAACTTCAACCAATACTTGGGAGTTATTTGTTTTCTACTTATTAGTATTTTATAATTTTAAATGTGATAAAGTTTTCATATTCTTCTTCTGTAATAGTCACTACTACTCAAATTCTCATAATAAAATACATATGAAAAAATATAAAGAAATTGGGCCCAAAATTTCCTTTTATTAAACATAGATATATATATATTCTACAAACATATACATTTTTACATAAAATGTATAACATATACAAAAGTCATCAAAAACATAAGGGACAGTGTAACCGCTTCTTCTCGAACGCTGACATCCATCCGACAGTGTCCTCACCTAGGTCCTGCAAAACATNATTCGTGGGGTCCCTTTATAAAATAAGTTTTTATTGGGCTTGGAAGTGAAAAATAAATAATTGCAAAATAGCCCAAGTATATATAAGTGCAAAAGGTTGCATTTTTGTTCATTATTCACTTGTTCACTCAAACACAAACTAAAAGCTCTCTCTCCCTAGCCACGGCCACTCTCTAATCCTCTCAAGGTAGTGTTAAAGTGTGGAGGTTCCATCTTTTTGAAGCTAATCTTCATCAATCCAAAGCAAAGGAGTAGGTATAATCTCATATCCAAGATTTGCATGTAAACCCTTTTTTTTTAATCCATGCTTTCATGCTTTCATTCTCCATCTCCACCACTCTTCATGCATGCTGAATCTTTCAGGTTCGACGAGCTCTGGAAACCAAGCTCGAAGCTCGGCTCGAGATTTGCTGAGCTCAAAGCTCGGCTCGAGCTCAGCTTGTTTAACAGGCTTTAATTCAATGCAACCCACCCACCAATAATCTTAAAAAAAAAAAAAAAAACAATCTAAAGCCAACCCACTAGATTCTTCAAAACCTTAATGATAATGTAAAAGCAACAGCCTCATTTTTGAAGAAGAAAAAGCAGGTTGGAGAAGGGAGAGTGAGACAAGATTTGTAATGCCATAGATTTGAGGTAGAAGAGCTAAAGGAAAGAAGAAGGAAAGAGAAAGGAAAGGGAAAGGGAAAGAAGAAGGAAATGACAAGAAAAAGGAAAGAGAAAAGAAAGGAGAAGAAGTGCGGCTGTGATGGAAAGGAGAAGAAAAGAAAACAGAAAAGAAAGGAGAAGAAGTGCGGTTGTGATGAAAAATGTGTTAGGGTTTTTAGAATAAACAATTTATATGTAAAATAATAAATTACATAGACACCCTTATACTTGAAAAACTTACACCTTATATTTAAAAAACTTACACTCATACCCTTTCGAGCCATGGAGGCTCATGAGCCTATCGAGCCGAGCATTGGGTGGCTTGGGCTCGGCTCGAAAAGGCACTTGAGCAGCTTGAGCTCGAGCTCGAGCTCGAGTCGAATCAAGCCGAGCTAAACTCAGGCTTTTCTCGAGCCGAGCCCGAGCCATTCTCGAACGGCTCGGCTCAGCTACACCCCTAGTCACAACATCAACTGTGCTAAAAAAATGCCGGGGTTTGAGTCGCCATAAACATAACGAAGCACATCAACGACAACGGAGGTTTGTGAATCAGTCCCACCACTAAGACCCACATGAAGAAGTACCCGATGAAACAGAGGATAGCACCAACCACATAGACCACCCATGGTCCATATTGTGTTTAAATGTGACGGAGTAGAGGAGGCCTGAGAGAATACCCATGTTGGTACCGATATCTTTAAAGACTGAGACGGTATAGGATGCACTGTTGCTGCATAGAATCCATATGCTGGCCATCGTTGCTATCCACTTCGAGTTTAGGCTCTCCATTTGGTGTACAAGAATCATCATCAGAAAGAATAAAGCTGACTGATTTGGAATTGGATCTGGTGATCCTATTTGATGTCGGAAAATATAATATAATTTGCTTTTCTAATTTTTTTGACTGTTTTTAAAAGATTTTCGGTGATCTTCTTTTATCATTTTTCTATCTCATCTTCTATGTTATTTGTCAAGTTTTTGTCCTAAGTTATCACATATTACAGATCTAAGGCTAACTAATCAATAGTATAACAAGATGATAATCACAGATTAAGATCTTTGGTTAACAACCAATCTCCAAACCAACAAAGTAATCACAGATTAAGATCTCTGAATAACAACCAATATCCAAACAACAAAGTAATCACATATTAAGATCTCTGAATCATCAAGCATTAATAAACAGCAGATCAAGTAAAGAGATAAAGATCAACACAAGGAATTATTGTGGTTCGGCTGGGTAGCCTACATCCACTCTTCAAGGCTCAAATAGGATGTCATTACTATCACAGTCAAGAGAACAATTTACAGAGTATTGAACAAAGAAAGAAACAGATTGAGCAAAGAAGAATACAACCCGAAGAAACCCTAGCTTTCTTCCCTTTTCCCCTTGCTACAAATCCATATCAAATGGAATCAATTTATACATCAGTCACCTTCCAGGATCAACCTCCACTTGGAACCCCAAGAAGATCCAGCCGTAGATGAGCAACAGATTTCGTCTCCTATTAGAACATTCTGGAATGAAACAGTTAGAGAGGAGAAATCTGTGTAAAAGAGGAGGGCTGCATCAAATGAGTAGACAAAACCATTTTTAGCTCATCATAAAACGGTGTCGCTTGGACCCCTTTGACTCTCCCAGTTTTTAATTGACTCCACCGTGGCACAAACACAAGCCACATCACCACATTATTCAATATTAAAACTTGAATCAACCTGACCCCTAGTGAAGCTTTGCCCAAGTGTTAATCATATTGTTAACATTCTAAATAAAATTAAGGTAAATTTATACGATACAACCGCAAGAACACATACTTATAGAAATTTAGCCTATTTCACTCTCCCTCCACAATTTTAAAGACAAATACCTTTTTATGTATAAACTGAAACTCAGCAGTCAACATTATAGATCTAGAATTCCTTTTTATTTTTCCAATTCATTTGTGCACAAAATACCAATCCACCTTATTGGCCAATATTATCTCCCAGCTACTTTTCATGTTCTTGAAGAATGTTGCAACCTTCTGAAAACTACTTGGTTATAGAACCTTCTTGTCCTAAAGAACAACAGGAAGGCAACAAGACATCCAAGGAAAGCAACAGATGCCATGATAAGAAAAGATAACATGAAGCAATGTGCGCCATAGCAAGAGTCGTTTTCACCATTTGCCACTTTGTCGTAAAAATATCCTATTACTATTACAGAGAAAATATAAGATCCAACAGGACTTGCTATGCCTATGGTGTTGAATATAGTTCCCATATGCCCAACACCAAACAATTCTGAACTTATTGTTGGCATTAATGACCACTGGGAACCATAGCAAACACCCACTATAATTGTACCCACATACAGGGTTTTAGGAATGCCGGAACCAATAACTATATGACCAATGCACATTGTTGCTAGAGTAAGTGCAGTGAAAAATGGCCTTGCCCACCCATTTCTATGCAGGAATATATCTGAAATGTACCCGGCTCCGAAACGGCCAAGAAAATTCCATATACTCCATAAAGAGACTAGAGAATTTGTTTCAATCGTTGTGTAACCAAGAGACTCTCCTATTTGACTGAGATTATTTATTGTGGCCA